ACGTTCATAAAAAAGCGTAAGGTGATTGATTAATGCTGTTTAGAGAACCTCATTCTTAATTAATGACTTATTTTTTTCCTCGTACACTTGACTCCGGAAAAAGACCAACAAATATGAACTATTTTTAGTTACCAAATTCAAAAAAGGACACCTGGTAATTTGCCAGCTACATCTGGCCTACGCTTGAATTTCGAGTTGTCCATGGTCAAGGAGTCTTCTTATCTGTGGTCTGATGAAATACTCCCAAACCATGTTATAAACAGAGGCTGAAGCAGGCTAGAGGCAAAAAGCATGTCTTTATGAGCTACTGAAATAGTCTGCAACAAGGTAGAAATTCAATCTGAGGGTGGAGACCGAATTGAAGTCAAGGGTAAAAGCCAGAGTCAGCAAAACCAGAAATAAGGCTGGTCAAAGGAGAGGGTCTGAGCGATAAAAAGGGCTTACTGCATTTAGTTGTGCTCAGTCTAACTGGGAGCCTCTGTAGATTTTTAAATCAGTGCAGATAGATTTAGTGCCTCTGAGTCTGATCTCCTTGATGGGCTAACTCCAGAATGGGAAGCATCAGTGATAAGATCAGCAGCAAAATATTACCACATTTAACAAGCTGGCTAGCAAATTGGAATATGCTAAAGCATAGAAGAATCAGTTTTTTTTAAAAGTCAGTCATCTCTACCCATATTAGTCATATTAGTTAAACTCTAGTTTCTTCTCTGTGAAACTTAGTTTAACTAGTTGCATTGTGGTGTTTCAGATGTGATTTTAGAAACAAAGGGGAAAGATAATAATCTCCAATATTTTCTGCATCATCCCCTAAAAGGATTTATTAAGTGTCTAACTACTTGTTGTTTTGTGGATACAGCAGTAATTAGATATAAACAGCTTCTGCACTCTAGAAATTTTACGATCTTGAATAATATATCAGTCTTTAGTCTTTAAATAAGTCCCTAAAGTTTTCTTAGCATATGCTCAATCAATATAGCTTTTTAGAGACAGGATTTAATAAGACTGATTTTAGATACATTCAAGAAAAAAAATTATGTCTAAAAGAATGTATTGGATCACTCATGACAGCATTAGTTCAATTTTTCAGTCAAAGAGAAACCAAACTTCAATTAATGATGGCATTCTGTCTTCTCTCTTCATAAAAAAGAAAAGAAAAAAAAAGTCAAAGATATGTAATGATGCTCAGGCCCATCCTATAGATAAGAAACTAAGAACTCAACATATATTCTATCTTCTTCTCAAAATTAATCGTGTAGAAAAGGGGAAACTTACTATACTATTCCCTTTCTTGAATATCTAGACCAAATTTGTCTCTTTGTAGCTTCAAGCCATACTTTCTTAGATTTTCACTTCAGAGCTGAAAAAGAACAAATCCAATCTACCTTCTCTATGACAGCTTTGGATTGTTATAGAAGAGGGTTGTTTGTTGGAGTTTCTATGAGAACAAAGTAAGTTTATGTAACAACACCCTTTTAAAGTTATAGGGTATTTAAACCTTGTTTGGGTTCCTACCTATACAAATTCTTGTTTCATTCTCCCATTTCTCTTCTCTGAAACCCCTTCCTCAGATAAGCCAAAAATTAATCATAGAGTCATCAGTATAAGACTGGAAAGGATCTTCACCTAATCCAAGCTGCTCATTTTACACATCAGGAAATTGGGGCCCAGAAAGATTAAGTAACTTGCTTAAAGTCACACAGATAGGATTCAGGTGCTATGACTCTCCACTCTTTCATTGTTCTTTTCATTGCACCATGTTGCCTCAATCACATGATGTATATTCTAAAGGTGCTCCTTCCTGCCCGCCCCCCATAAAAAAGATAACTTAAATAAGAAATGTAGGGCAAATGTCTGGAAAATACCCTCAATGCCTTTACTCAAACAAAAGTACCTGCCACTGACTCAGTTCTGAGCTGTGTTTAACAGCCTGACGCCCACACTTGGCAAGCAGGAAACTAGGTTAAAATTTTGCCCATTTGATAATATGGAATGATTATGCATTTTCTTGACAGGTTCCCTTCACCTTTTGCAGCTGGATTGGTAAGTCTTTAGAATCCTAAAGCTAATGCATGGAAAAGGAAAGGACCCAAAAGGCAAGTCTAGCACACCTGACTCAGAGCCAAGCTTGGCATCTGATGGCATGAGGAATAGCCTCAATCTCTGCACATCCCCAGTGGAATAGGAGAAAAGGAGAGATTCCATTTTCTGTAGCCATTTTTTAAAATTTTGATTTTTTTGGTTACATTTTAAATTCTGAAATGTCTCTCTCTTCCCTCCCCACCTGAACTAGAGGACACCATTTGACACAGATTTATAAACATATGTAAAACCATACTATCTGTACTTCTATTTATCAGTTCTTTCTCTGGAGGTTGGATAGCATCTTCCTTCACAGGTTCTTTATAGTTGATTTGAATATTTATAGTATTCACATAGCCATTTTCTAACCTCCTTGTCCTTCCTTTCTCGTTCAACCTTTGCATTCCTTGCTTCTCAATCTTCTTGTTCACGCTAGAAGTGTACCTGCAAGATCAAAATCTGGAATCCAAAACGTGTGGAGTCCAAAATATGTCTCTTGTTGTTGCTGATGTTGATGCTGCTGTTGTTTGTGTGGGAGGCAGCTCAGAGAGTCTTCTCAGGGAACAAAGCTTTCTGCCCCAATGCTACATGGGGAATGGAATTCAGAGAAATATATAGTCTTTTCCTATCCAGACATAAACACTTATAAGGTACCTCTTAATAAATCACATGCCCAATATGCATGAATTGTAGAAGTTTGGGATATTGTAATTTGTGATATCATCTCAGGACTCCGGGCAGATCAAAGATCCAAAAAAAGGGCTGGTTTTTATTGGTTCTCTGGCACAATCTCCATTTTATACCCTGAGGGAAAATTCTACTAGCTCCGTATCACCTCTTGATACCAACACAATCATTCACAGCATGCGGCCTTTTTTCCTAGAATACATCTAGTTTGGTGTGGGAAAACAAGCTCTTAAAGAGTTAAGTACATGAGAATGTTATTTCAGTGACTTTCTAGCTGGGTAAATCATGTTGCACTGGTCAATCTACTAGCAGCTTGCATTTGCTAAATTATTTTCCTTCAATGTGGAGTGAGGTGTGGTTGAAAACATTTGAACTGACCATTTGAGTCTCGGATGTAACTCAATATTCGTGACTTAGGAAGGCGTCTTGTTCTTTTGGTATGTCACTTTTGTCTTGGAGGTTGAGCTTGGCAGTTGTGCCATAAGATATGATGCCTACTAGCTCATTCACCTTATTAATTATATTGACATTGATTAAGAGTTACTCAGCATACCCTTTTTCTAGGATGATATTGTCTGATGCAGTGTACAAGTTCTTAAAGTGTATGGGAATCTCTTCTGCATTTGAGGAAGAGTATATCAATTGAGAAGGCAGAATAATATTGAAATGGGAAATTGATAGGGATCGCTGTGTTTCTTAGGCTATTTACAGTTTGTTTGTGTTCAGGATGGTTCAGCATTGAGAGATGGTGAGGCAGCAAGGAACAGGGCAGGGAAAAAGAACACACGTTCTATGGTGTATTAAAATTGTATCTTGTTCTGGTCCCCCTGACCACTCCCCTCTTCTAGTCAATATAGCAAATAAGTTTATAAGTAGCCAGTAGAAAGGGGCAATAGCAGGATGTAAGATTGCAAAGGGGGACCTGAAAGTCACATAAAAACCATCCTAAAGATCAAAGGAGCATAATTAACGAATTGTATCATATGTTAACCAAAATTCCCATCCTGGTAGTATGTGTTGAATCAGCAGAAGCCATCTTGGTGCCATGGTCAGAGCCTTTTGGTCCTATAATATGTAAATGTCAGACAAGTTCCAGACATTCAGCAGATTACCAAAAGGTACTGATAATTTTGAGATAATGGGGACACATTAACTTTAAAGTTTTACTGACACCTTTGGATGATTTGTACTACCCCAACGCGGAATAGCTAAGAGTTAGTCCATTCCCCTCAAAAAACACTATAAAAATGAGATGTTAAACTCTCCCCTCCCTCAGGACTCTTCCACTTCCATCAGGTCTATGATGCCTAGTATTCCCAACTCTAATTCATGCTTATGTGTCTGATACTCTTTGCCTCTCCTCCTCCCCCATCCCTACTGTATACCCCACACCATCTGACTCTGTATCCCTTTCATTGGTTGTCTTTGCTGTGCTCTTTACCCTCATATGTCTATGTCTACTTGAAATGTGATTGCTGCCCCATTTCCCACTTAGTCATGGTCTTTCCCAGTGAGTAACCAAAGAACTGGATGTGCCTTCCCCTGTATCATTATTTAACAAATTAATTTTCAACTCATGTGGTCTCTCTCTATTCCCAAGTACACATATTACTAGACTTGTCATTTTTCTGACCAGGAGTTCATTAGGGACATATTGACCATTTGCAAGTCACAAAGTCACGTTTCACACTCAACCACACCTACAAACACACACAAAAAAGGAAGTTTTCCGTTAGCAAACATGACAATACCTGAATTCAAGTGTGTTTTAGTTGGTGAGATAACTAGCTAGTAGAGTATCCAGTAATAGTCTATACCAAGGGTGGGGAACCCACAGCCTCAAGGCCACATGTAGCTCTCTAGTCCTCAGGTGTGGCCCTTTGAATACAAACTTCGCAGAACAAAGCCCCTTAATAAAAGAGTTTGTTCTGTAAAATTTGGACTCAGTCAAAAGCTCACCCAAGGACCTAGAAGGCCATATGTGGCCTTGAGGCTGCAGGTTCTTCACCCCTGGTCTGAACATACATATAAACACACATGAACACACACACACACACACACACTCACACACACACACACACACACAAACACTCCTCAATACAATTTTGTCCATGAGAAGATAGATTAGAGATGAAATGAGAGATGCAACAGAAGGTTCATTCTAATATATGGATGGCAGGGTAGGGGAGGTAACTATAGCAATAATCTGTAATATATGGCTTGAGACTCACCTGTGGATCATTTGGATACAGGCCAGTCTCCTCTGCTACTGTAGGTCCTGAATGTAGAATTATTTTTTTTGTGGATGCTATTGTGACTTCAATGTTCCAAAATAGAACATTGTGCAGCTGGACTTTATTGTTTTGTGTGATAGTTCTGTTATGCTTTAAACTGAGTCTGTGTTTATTTAATAGGCTAATATTGTAGTATTTGAAAACACTGTTGTTCCACTAGAAGGCAATTAAGTGGATTAATCTTTGAACTTATCATGCACAACATTCTTTTCTACGATAATAAATTTTTACATTTCATTCAAAATTGTACTTTGCAATTACAAATAATCATGTACCATGTCCCTTATCCTGCAACAGTATCATCTTTTTTAAAAAAAAGTTATAATTTATTTGCACAAATTCCTGTTTACATTTGTAGGCAGTGCCACCTTTGGCCAGTAGATAGCACTCAAGATATTTCAATAAATAGAGAGGAGAAATCTTGGAGTGATTTTTACTCTACCAAATGAACAGCGGATAAGTCCATCTGTATCTCAGCAGAGGAGAAAATCGTCAATTCTGTGTAATTATAAATGAAGGCTTTCCTACCAATCATCAAGTGGCATCTTAATGCATACCTGTATGTTATGAGCAATGTAGGAAAATTAGCCCACCTGTTTCCCAAAGCAATTACTGTCTATAGACAGGAAGGAGTCACTCATTGATAGGAATGGAAACATTAAAAAAAAAATCAGCTGATTACCAACACTAAGCCTCACTTGCGTAATAGTCATATACCTCGTTATATCCTTCTATTTTGGCAAATAGAATAAAAAAGGCTTAAAATGCAACACCATGTAAGACTCTCTGATCCTACTATAGAGAAGGGTATTATGCAAATGGCTTATCTTTTGACAAATACTGTACTTGAGTGTGTGTATTGGGGGGGGAGATGGGGGGACCTAGAAAGCTAGGTGGCAATGAGGAATGAATTTTAACTTTGCAACGCAAGTGGAATATACCCTGGTTTGTTGAAACCTGTTTTTGAATGTAGAGGCAAATTGCTCTGTCTAGACATGATTTCCTGTGTGCATAAAGGAAACTTCAATAATCACTTAGGTGTAAAGGGTGACAAGAAAAGCTGACACTGATATTTTGAATAATCTGCCACATGTGAAAGAAAAAGAAACTGGTGCAGTTCAACAATCACAATGTATCTGCTAAAGTTAATTCATGTGTGTGGTGCCCAGGTGGTGGATGTAGCATATATGTATTGTCCATCCTGTCACAGCTGACTGGAATTGGGGAAGCCAGAAGTAGAGAGCCATTGAAAGGGCAAATCCAAATGATATTTGAGGCAATACAGTGAGGAAAGACCATATCAAGAAAAAAGTCAGCTGCAAATTCAATTTGGGGAAGTAACCAAAGATACATTTACATTTTTGACCTGTGGGAAGTAGAAGAGGTAAACACCTGTAAAAAAAAAAATCAGGGAAGGCAACTTCTACCTCTCTCTCAAGGCCCAACCAACCACAAACCTTTGAAGGTTATTACAGCCAACTCTCCTTAGTGGTGATAGAATCTGCACTTGAAAGTGCCATTTCTGTAAGCTGCTTTAAGAATTTTCTAAATTTGCCCTATTTAGAGAAAACATTCCATAGTATCATAAAATTGAATGTTATATTCTGCTGGAAGCACAATGACAGGCTCAAGTCATGCTTCTGAGCCTTACTGGTTGAGTGACCCCAGCACTTAACCTCTCAGTACTCTTGGCAACTCACCAGAACTGTAAAAGGCAGGGAAGATGTGGATCTGCATTGGTAGAAGGAGTTCCCTCACCTGCCAGTCCCCTACATTGATGACCACAGGTACCTGGCCTTATTCTTGCTGACCAAATTGCATTCCTTATGTAATATATAGCACTGCAGCACTCTCAGTTTATTATAGAAAGCCCAGGAAGTAGATGTTATCTTCTTTTTCTAGCGCCAGCAATGTAAGGGTTCTGTTGAATTCAGAATCATTGCGTTTTGAAAAAAAAAAATGCCATACCTTTCCTCCTTGCTTAAAAGATGAGATAATTCTGATTCATGTCCTTGAGGGAAAGCTACAGTATTATGTCTTCTTCCATGCTCTTCCTTCATATCATCTTTTCTGCACTTTACTGATTGTAAATGCAGAAACTATAGAAAGCCTGCATTGATACCAATATATTATTATTAGGAGACATAAAAGAAGATACACAGTTTGATGAGTGGACACTCTTGGATGTTTTATAGGATTTTTATACGAGTAGGTGGACATGAGTCACACAGGTCAGGATGGGTAGAAATCTGTACCATAGCAAGGGGGTACCCACATTAATAAGAGCACACATCCACTGAAGAAATTCAAGAAAGAATAGACTTTATTTAGAGATTTTGAGAGGAAAGCTTTTTCAGAATTAAGGAGTTCTCATTTAATAGGCTAGGAGTGATACTCCAATACTTGTCTGTATGCTCCTTTCCCTTATTTTTCTCTTTCTTGGGAGATGTAAAATCTCTATCTGCACATCTCCTGACTTGTATACTGGATGCAGGAAGTGAAATAGCCAATGTGACACCCATTATGTTGGGCACTTAGAGAGAAAAAGATGACTATAGACTAGGCAGTCTTAAGTTCACATGTATTGGTGAATGAAGGAATACACAGAAGTAAAGGTAACAAAAGCTTCTTATCTTAATCAATCCAGGTTGGCACAGATGTGATTTGTATAGTCTAGGAAATAGCATTATGTTGCTCCTGCAATCCCAAAGTAACTGACTATTGATCTATTTGTTTTATTCATCCCAAAGATATCTAGGAAATCCATGCTTCTCTTTCCCCCAATATTTTCTTCTAGGAAAGAGGTATCAACCACAGGAAATTGAGCCTTTTTTTCCCTAAGGAATGTGGTAAGCACAGCAGTCATCAAAAGGGAGAATCCAGTTCCGCTCTAGCGAAGTGTTATCATTTGAATCTGATCTAAATCAATTAGTGCAAATATATTATTATACCTATAAAAATGTCCCTATTACTTCCCAAATAATGAAGAAGATAATTTCTACTTTATAGTAATGATTATCTTTACAATTGATTTGTCAAGTAGTCATAGATCCATTTTGGCATCTCATCTATTTAATTGATTCATATGTCTTAATCATGTTACCTTTGATTAGCTCTTTTGGGGAAGAAACTCTAGAAAATGTATTTCTATTTCTCATAGCATGGAGGAAAAGTCCTGGCTATACAACAGGTGGTCAATAAAGAGAGGTTTGGATGAATGAATGAATGAACAAATAAACACATACTTCCTTGGTAGACAGGCCTGTCTTATTGTTTCTATGTAAAATGAGGCTAGCCACTGGGGTGAATATTTCAGATGAAACTCATAGTTTCATAGAGTTCTTTCCTGAGTATGCCCAGTTCTATAGCTATCCATTAAAAAACTTAAGTGCCATCTCTTAGAGAAATAGTACAGGAATTTTTAACTTTTTCTTGTGTCATGGACCCCTTTGTCAGTCTGGCAAAGCATCTGGAACTCTTCTATGAATGATGTTTTTGAATGCATAAAATAAAATACATAGGATTATAAATAAAACCAACTATATTGAAATATAGTTATCAAAACATTAAGTCCACACTTTAATTTAAGAACTTGTGTTCTAGAGTCTACAAAAAGGAAATAAAGAATATTAGTTTAAAAAGCTTATTTAGGGAGAATAAATATAGTGAAGTGGAAGAGGGAAAACAAAAATAGATTAAGTTTCACATAATTGTTCAAATGGATGATTTGTAAAATCACGCAAATCTTATCAGAAATTTTAAGGTTGTAAGCCACCTTAGAAATCATCCAATTCAACCTTTTTTCCTTTCAAAGATGAAGCAACTGAGGCCTGGGACATTAAAATGACTGGTACAGTCACATGACTAATAAATTAATGCTAAAGATGAGATATAGAACCTAGATACATGAAATCAGGGTAGATGACCAGTCTTTAGTTTTGTGTTCATCCACTCTCAAAAACTATATATTCTTTAGGAAACCAACTGAAAAAGTATAACTATGGAATGATCCTCTGCCCTTCCTTCACATATTTAAAGTGCTCATTTCATCAGGTTTCTATCAATGTCTGTTCTGAAGAAGAAGGAGGAGGAGGAGAAAGAAGAGGGTGGAAGGAGGAAGAGTGGAGGAGGAAAAGGAGGAGGAGGTGGAAAAAGAGGAAGGGGAGGAGGAGGAGGAAGAGGAGAAGGAGGAGAAGGAGAAGAAGAAGAAGAAGAAGAAGAAGAAGAAGAGAAGAAGAAGAAGAAGAAGAAGAAGAAGAAGAAGAAGAAGAAAACAGGAAGAGGAGGAGAGGAAGGAAGGAAAGGAAGGAAGGAGGAAGGGAGGGAGGGAGAAGAGGGCCATAGCTTCTGATTCAAAATACTGTTTTATATGTTATTTCATCCATATTTGTATATTGTCAATCAACACCAAGTATTGAGCATCCACTGTAGCCACATCATCATTTGAGACAATGTGGGGAGATACAAGGATCAGAAAAAAAGATAAAACCCTAATCTCCAAGGAGCTTACAATATAGTTTTAAATTCAGAGGGCTATAATTGATCTTATGTAAAGAATAATATATTGTGATGAGTACAACTGACTGAACTTACATTTAGCCCTCTTCCTATGCCTATATAACACTTGTTTTCTGGCTTCAGTGTACATATCAACAAAGTCAAAGGTACATACATATTAATTATATTATTAAATCATATACATAAATAAAACAACAAAAATATAAGATATTGTAACAGTTTCTGAACACAGTCCTTCTTCAAGAATGTGTTATTTTATCAGTATGGATGTTATCTATATTAATGGACATGATGACCTATCTAAGCCTTGGTAGATGGTCTTCATGAGTTGCTGTAGTGAAGAAGAAGAAGAAAAAAAAAACACCCTGTGGTTAAACCACTGATGATTAACCCATCTGATCTTAACCGAATAACAGTCACAGCTCCTATTTGCAGTTTTTCCTGCCTGGCAGGGTTTGCCAGAGCTTGTATTCCACTGG